AGGTTGTCATCAAATCACAAGACACACAGACGAGCACATGCAAAGCTGTAGCCGCGTGTGGAGTTCAGTCCTCGGCAGACGGCTACTTAGCATTGACAATTTTCTGTCTCAGCTGGATTGATCCTCTCCTCTCCCACACCTTAACTTGCTTTCCCCAGATCCCATGGAATCTTCTGTGGCTCCTGAACGGTTGGAGTCAGAGCCACCCAGCTCTGAATAGTCTACTGCTACGAGTGGCTGCTCCTTGCTAGATTTGGCTTTCAGGGCCATGAGAGGGAGCAAGTTTCTGGGGATTCCTTCCGAGTTCCCCGGGCAGGAGGAGAGCAACTCTGCCATTGTAGATCCCTCTAAAGACTGTCCAGCACTAAGCTAAGGGCTGAAGTGCTGTTTCTTCAGGTTCCTCTAGATCAGTGGTTCTCAACTTTCCCTACAGCTGTGAACCTTTAATACAGTTCCTCATGCTGTGGTGACCCCAAACATAAAGTTGTTTTTATTGCTACTTCATAACTGTCATTTGCTACCATTATGAATCATAATGTAAATATCTGTGTTTTCGGATGGTCTTAGGTGACCCCTGTGAAAGGGTCGTTTGACCCTCAGAGGGATCATGACCCACAGGTTGAGAACCTCTGCTCTAGGTCTTAGAGGCAGAGTGCCCAGAACAAGTTATGTCCCTCTCTCGTTAATCGTTTCATTCAAGCATCAACCCTACTGGGTGTGCTATCTTTTTAGTGAGTTCTGTCCCATCTCAATCAGTGACCAGGCAGGAAAACCAAAAGTTTACCTGTGACCCTGCTCACCTCCCTCCACCTGCCCTGGGAACCCAGCCTTCTGAAAGGGTTCTCACGCCACACCCTGTTTCCTTGTTGCTCTGGGGATTATTCTGAAGTCCACAAAACTTATCAAACCAGGAAGCATTTTCCAAACCTGGACGCACCTCGGTGTCTACAGCAGAAGCCTGGAGGGACACCAGCCACACACAGGTCAGACTAAGGATACCTCCCTCAGTGCCCGCCCTCTGAATCAGGCACTACATTAACCCTCCTCTCTTGGAGCTCTGTCTCCCTTCCTGGTATTCTCTGTCTTGTTTCTTGAGGGGAAGACAGAAGGAGAACTCCCTCGGGTGCCATGAACTCTGCTGTCATCAGCTGTGAGTCCCTGGTGAGTGCTGGTCGGGTGGGGGTGGAGGGAGATGAGGAGGAGGAGGAGGAGGAGGAGGGGAGCAAGCAGGAGGCCTTATTGATTGCTTTAGCATTTCACAAGCCCAGTTTGCATCCTAGCCTATGCACTCCCTCTGACCTCTCAAAAACTCATGGGATGCTTAGTGAATTCACAAAAGCCTGGGACAAGTCCGAGGTCCTGGCTGACTCCTCTTCCTTCTTAGTTCTCCAGCCAACACAGGCTTGTGTGCCCTGGTAAACTGGGCACCATTCGCCACCTCTTACCGGCTCAGTCCCTTCTCTATCATTTCTTCCTCATTGTTTGATTTGTCCCGTGTGCTCAAAGGTCTTAGATTCCAGGAAAGGCTGCTCAACAGCGATCTAGTTGTATTCTGCTTTCTTGTGGCCCTCCAGGCAGCCAATATCATCATCTTAGCCTTCATTTTCAACTTTCCCCACCAATTTAGAAGCTAGTGAGGTTGATGTATGTGCAGTCTTTCTTAATTTGTTTTCTGGGCAGAAGGCACAGCCTCGGTTGCATGGTTTATCACCCACGGCAGGGGCAGGAAACCTCTCCGTTACTCTGTTACGGTCGCAGTCCATATCTACTGTTTTAGGAACTGCAGTGTACTCTCTGTCAGCCAGCCTCGGGTTGTCCTTGAGCTTTCTTGGTGGGCCACATTGATCAAGGAACACAGCACAAAAAGGAAGATGGCCCTGCTGGGATTTCTCCCACAGACTTTCCACCTGACTTCCCGCTGTGCAGACACCTCAGCCTCGGTTCATATCTTAGGTGCTACAGCAGGGACACTGCAACTGTCCCTACAGCAAAGAGTCACAGAGCGTGGAAGGGCACTAACGCAGGTCACGGGGGCCGCCACGAGGAACATGACAATCCCAGTAGCCAGCTCCAGGGAACCGCAGAGTAGGAAATCATCTAGGTCAGGTGAGACCTGCGGAGCGGAAGGAATGGACGGTCAGAGGACACACTGCAGTTCTCACTGCACCAGGGTCCCCTCCCCTCTGCTCGAGTGCTCCCGAGAGCTCCTGAGAGCCAGAAGCCTATCCCTACCCACTGGACCACAGTTGCAGGCAGCTTCCTTGAACTATGGAAGAGGAGGTTGCTTACTGTGAACAAACCCTGGGGCCTCACTGGTTCTTAGTCTTGTCATCTGTCAATGGGGTGGGGCTGGGGTTGGGGGGGGACGAGATGGAGGTGAGGCCCAAACCAAAGGGCCCATTGGAATCTCTTTGTAACCTGGTACATGCCCAGCTCTTCAAAATGTGACCTTGATGAAGCCCTCCAGTGAGATCAAAGTCTAGACACTGAGTTGAGTGATGTAACTCCATCTGGAAGACGTGATCCATCTGCTCACACTATTGCTTGATGTCAGGGAAGGCTTCTAGAAGAATCTATCCTTCCTCCAGGCTGGGTTCACAGGCTACTACTCTGTAGCTCATGTGCACAGCTCCTGGCAAGAGGGTCTCCTGTGGTTTTCTCAATATAGTGCCATGTCTTGAGATAGGACACCTGCCACACCCATTCTATGCCATGCATTTATAACTTGGGGTAGTTCACAGGAAAAGGCACACTTATGAGCAATTGGGTGAATAAGATAGAAAAAGCAAAGCAAACACAGGAGAAAACAAATGTATTTGGAAAAAGGCTTATTGCTGGGGTCAAAGTATTGTCTTGGGATCCTCTTTGTACCAACTTTGCCATGTAGGTGCTGGGAATTGAACCCAGGTCCTCTGGAAAGACAACCAGTGCTCTCAACCACTCAGCCATCTCTCCAGCCCTAAGCTCTCTTTTTAAAAATGTGGTTTCTTACGCAGCATGTTTTTCACATGACTTTTTTGAAACAAGTGCAGCAGTAATTTGTGTAGCTACAGGATGACCTATATGGGTATAAAGACAATTATACAGAATTAGACAATTCTGAGGACCTCAGACTGGCAAATGTCTTTGACATTGGTTCCCACAGTATTTCCCGCCCCTTCACCTTCCAGAGAGTTCCAGAGGTCCTGGAAAGGGTGTGTGTGTGGTGAATTTGCTGGCTGAGGCCACAGAACTGATGTATCACAGCCTGAGAGTTCATTCCCTCATAGGCCGTGCAAGGCACCCCCACACCACACAAGCCTGGGCCTAGGAGTACCTCATGAGTATCCTAGATGCTACATGGAAAATGGAGCCTGGGTCGTCAGTCATGCTGGGAGTGACAGATTGCAAGTGCCCAACATTTCTCTGCTTGTGTTTGCTTCTCTGAATTTCCTACCCAGAATCAGCCAATTAGTCTCTCACAGGCTCTCTCTCGCTCTCTCTCTGTCTCTGTCTCTGTCTCTCTCTCTCTCTCTCTCTCTCTCTCCCTCGCTCTCTCTCCCCCTCCTACAGTTCCTTTCTCAGCAGCATGCCCCTCACAGACTCTTCCATAACTTCACTAAATCCTCACCAGATGTGCCCAGAGGCCAGCACTTCCTCTGGCAGCGTCTCCTCCAGCTTTGACCCTTGAAGAAGGACAGACTTCTTCCATGTACAACCCAAGGACCAAGAAGTGTCAATATATTGGGACAGAAATGAGATTTCATAAGTTCTCCAAATAGATAAAGGCAGAGATTCAAAAGCGATACACAAAGCAAACCCCACTGTTGGATGACTTTCATAGTCATTCCTTGATACGTTTGTCTGCCTGCTTTTTCAGCTCAACGAATGCCAGCAATGTTCTAGATGTTTATATTTCTGTTTTAAAACCTAATGGTAGAAGATTTATGAACAAATGTTTTATGTGGGGAACTAAATGGTTCTACAGAGCTGTGTTGAGGCTAGCTCAAGAGACGCCGTATCAGGGAATATGAAGCTGGTCCCGGGCTCCCTTCCTCAGTGTGCCACACTGGGCTTTCTTCATCCACAGGGATGCCACTTTCTGCAGGTGGGGTTGTTCTCACCCCTCCCTCCACACCTAATCAAGTTGTCACCCACCATCTCTCACGGATGTCCCTGGAGTGCAGCCCCTGATCTGTTAGGTAGATAACACACAGTGCTCCAGTCCTTGGGATTTTAGAAGCTCGTGAAGATGGTTTCATTTGTTTTAAAATAAGGCAGAAAAGGCTAGGGGTGTAGCTCAGAGTGGACCCAGCACAGAGGAAGCTCTGGGTTTGATCTCTGGTATCGCTGAAAACTCAGATGAAAAATGAATGCACTTTGAGGGCACTTAATACATGGCTCACTTTTCTAGTAAGGTGACCCCACAAGCTGCCACTGTTCAGGGATGTTCCACCTCAGATCACTTGAGTCCTGTGTCCCAGGTGTGTGGTGTCTTCAGCTACAGGGGCTGGGCCCACCCTCAATTCCTGAAAGATTTTTTTTTTTAACTTTAAGGCATACTTCCATCTCCTCTCTGGTAAAGCTGTGTCACTCCCAAGGCTTTGGGTTGACAACACCCCCCCCCCACTTCCTACAGCCCAAGACTTAAGAGTCATTAACATAGGCCCAGCACTCGGGAGGCAGAGGCAGGCGGATCTCTGTGAGTTCGAGACCAGCCTGGTCTCCAGAGTGAGTGCCAGGATAGGCTCCAAAGCTACACAGAGAAACCCTGTCTAAAAAAAAAAAAAAAAAAAAAAAAAAAAAAAGGAGTCATTAACACAGATGCCTAACATAGGGGACAAGGTGACACTGATCTTTTTTCTCCATCTCTGTATTCCTCAGCTGGCTAGCACTGCTGATCCCTGTCCAAGGCCTCTTATGTCTGGAAAGGTGTCCCACCATGCAACCAACATCAGGAAGTTAGCTGTTTTCTCCTGGAGTGCTCACACATGCTCTTTTCTTGTCTCCGTAGAGGGATGACGGTGTGCTCAGCTCCCACACTAAAGGCCAAGCCAAGAACAAGGATGGGCAGCAGAAGGATCCCAGCCGCAGTCACCTGGCCTACGGCATCTTGGACAGCCCACCATGGTATCTCTGCATCTTCTTGGGGATCCAGGTAAGACTACCCACCCAGCGCTGGGTCCCAGGGAGTTCTCTGTCAGCTACACATCTAATTAGTCAAGATCACCATCAGCTGCTGTCATAGCTTCCACAGCCATCCCAGATCTCTCTCTCAGCGTGTGGGGTGGGTGTCGGCTTTTAGAAAAAGACGCTGAAGCTTTCTTAAGTGGCTCACTTGATGGGGGCAGCTCGCTTGTAAAAGGCCTGCTTCAGTTAGGTGAAGAGAAGGCAGAGAGGCACCAGCTAAGTACCTTCCACAGAGGCCGGCCTGTCAACTGTTTCTGTTTCAGCTTTCATGACTGCTACTCTAGGATCAAGAAGTTTGTTTGATAACAGGAAGGAATTAGCACTGATAAGTGGTGTTCACTGTTGCTAGACAGTCCAGTGAAAAAGGAAACTCTGGTGGGGTCTAGGCCTGGAGAATGCTGTGGCTTCTATTGGCCTAGCTGGTGGCAGGCTAAGGAAGCGTGATTAAGATGCTATCAAGTATAGGTGGGGGGGAAGGGGTTTAGCTTAAAAGTTCTATGTTTGCCTAATGTTTGAGGCCCTGTGTTCAGTACCCGGTCTCACCAAAAAGTGTTGTAAAGGGTTAAACTTGTGTTATTTTCCAAGAGACCATGGGAGAAATGGAAATCACCAGAGTGTGCCTTGAAATACTCATGCTTTCTTTTCTGAAAATCCTGTCGCCTTCCTTTAGAGCGGCCAAGCCATCTTTGGTCATCATTGGTTCGTGTAAGCTGTCAGGGAGTTTCAAGTTTTCCCTGCTTCCTGTACACCCCCATCCCCCATCTGTCAAAAGCAGCAGTGCTGGTCATATTGTTTGGATTATTCCAGTACATTCATTGAGGGGGTTAATCTGTGTCTAATCCATTGGTTGACTGGTCCCTTTGAGACAGCTCCATGCAGTGACAGGAGCTGGAGCTGCCACTTAAAGACCTGGAAGTTTAATTCTCACCTGCTACCCCTCCTGATAGCCGCACCTATATGACCAGGTGATGTGGAGCCCTCTATCC